ACAAGAAGCTACTAGGGGCTCCTGGCCGTACTACTAGAAACAAGAAGCTACTAGGGGCTCCTGGCCGTACTACTAGGAACAAGCTACTAGGGGCTCCTGGCCGTACTACTAGAAACAAGAAGCTACTAGGGGCTCCTGGCCGTACTACTAGGAACAAGAAGCTACTAGGCGCTTCTGGCCGTACTACTAGGAACAAGAAGCTACTAGGGGCAAGCTACTAGGGGCTCCTGGCCGTACTACTAGAAACAAGAAGCTACTAGGGGCTCCTGGCCGTACTACTAGGAACAAGGAAGCTACTAGGGGCTCCTGGCATCGCTACTAGTCACAAGAAGCTACTAGGGGCTCCTGGCCGTACTACTAGAAACAAGAAGCTACAAAGGGCTCCTGGCCGTACTACTAGGAACAAGAAGCTACTAGGGGCTCCTGGCCGTACTACTAGGAACAAGAAGCTACTAGGGGCTCCTGGCATCGCTACTAGGAACAAGGAAGCTACTACATGTTGGGGTGCTTGGGGAACCGGGAACCCACGGGCCCGACCCATTGGTTTAGTGTCAACACAACACGGGCCCTACGGTTCCAAGTTCCAAGTCCCGGCAGCGCGGAACACTCGTCGGGTCAGGCGTCGTTTATCTAAATAGTTCTTCATATTGCGGTTGTTCACGATGTGGCACCGCAACGGGTTCCTGGGCATCGGGCAACACCCGTCTCGAGTCACCGTCAAGCGACGGGTGCGAACTGCGACGGGGCTCACGCCACGAAAAAAGAACCGCCATGGGAGGCGTCTGTTGAGTCATTTTATGGTGAAGAAATGGTGAAGAATTGTTCCCACTGGAGGATACTGCCATGGTACCCTCCATAGAAGGAGCGAATTCGTGAGCTTTGTGCAAATTTGTGTTAAGGTAGCTGGTCTGACTTTCAGAAAATCCAAACAGCCTACACATATAATTAATATGCATTACAACCCCAAATCAGGGTTGAGGTACAATAGTGGTTTGGATCAATCATTGTAAACTGCATGTCCCACATTTCATCCAAAAAGCTAAATCAAAGCAACATGAAAGCAAACAACACAAGTTATATGAAAGCAAATCAAGCTGAGCTCCAGAAGAGAGGTCTTTTTGCGGACCCTCCCCCAAACCTGAACCCAAAAGAAACAACTTGAATTAAAGTGGTGGTGACCCCCAGCCCCTTAGATCGAATCACAATGACCTCATCACGATGAGGAGATTTCGGTAGAGGGATGAACCATCCCTGTCCGGTCAGCGGATTCCAGGGCCCAAACATCACTCTAGGACTCCTAGGTCTCTAGCAACAGCAAGAAAAGAATGCAAAGGAACCTTCCTGCAGCAAGGCAAGAATCTTCATCTGTTGCTTGGAGGGGGCATTGTGGCTTCTTTGGCCCTTTTGGTCACCGCATGTCACAGCCATGCCTGCCATGGCTCATGATATTAAAGTCCATATCCCTCCGCAGCTTTGCAATGGCACTGTGTGGGGCATCGGCGCGTGTGATGGCGTTCATGGCCTCCTTCATCTTGCAGCAATCCGCCTCGTGACTCGCTCCGGTGGATGCCGTGCATGACGTCCAGGGGAAAGAAGAGCGTCTACTGTTAAAATAATGAGGGTCCCAAGTTGGCATGTTGCTAGATGTATTATATAGGTGTACCAAAATAATCCAACATGTGGAGATCCATCCATGATCCATGCACCGGGATGAGGTCCATGGTGATGCGAATTGGAAGCCGCGGCCGCCACGAAGTCACAAAACCAAACATTGACAGTGACCAATGGTGACCCAGAAATCCATTGGTAAACGATCCCAATGGGACTGGACCAGGGTTACATTTACTCTCCCTGAAACAATCATGGAAGTGGAAAACCACCGGTTTGTAGAGGAAAACAGTCTCCCAAGAGGCCATCTTCCACTTAGTTGGAGGGAGGGTACCCATTGACCCCATGAACATGGCCCTACATTGTCCGGTCACTGTCCTAGTCCCATGCCATCGGGACACAGAACGCCCTCCTTCCCACCAAAGGATCGATGGTTTGATGAGCAGCTCACGACCATAGTTTTCTTCACAAAGAGAACATGTTGCTTTTTTAAAACAATGTATGAGTGTTTTAATGCGTAGCGGCGTAGCTTCTTTTTTTCTGGATCCCTCCTGATGTCCGACCGCGGGCCCTTCGTTTTGTTCCGTCCACCTTCCATGGTTTTCGGGGGGAGTGTACCAGACGGACACTCCATGAGTTGGCTCTACAGACTGGGCAGAAGTGCCTTGATCAAGGGGTCGTCCACTGAAGAAAGGCCTTCCACGAAGCCGCAGTCGGGAGATCGTGGCTTGGAGCAAGCAACAATTTGGTGAACCAAACCAGTTCCTAAGCAAATTAGGTTGGAGGCCATCGCTCTTAGGTTGAAAGCCTTCAAATACACAAAAAGTCTGAATGGTTCGTGGAGAAAAAACCATATTAGAAGTGGTGGATCACTTACCAAACGGGTTCCGTCATTTGGGGGTCCTTCCGCTTGGCGCTGCGGAAGTTGGAGGCCATCGCTCTCATGGAAATGGCTCAACGTCGAACCTCTGGTCGTGGTCTCCGCGCCTGTGGTGGTGCTCTCCGCCAAGACGGTCAAGCCCTCCGTCAAACTATCCACGCCTTTCATGAAGCCTTCCACCTTCTTGAAGACATCCTGCGTCTTACCGGCTGGGCAGTGACCAGTGCAACACTTCCACAACAATCCAAAATCATCCGCATGATACAATTTCATGCACCCGGACCCTGATGATTGATTGCTGTCATATACTAATACAACATACATGGATTGTGCAGGGGTTGGCGAATGGAATCTATGTCTCCTCAAGAGCCTGGTTCCAACTTGCTCCATCCACGAAGACGTTGGTCGGATCTGTGGCCGTGGAAAGCAAGCACGGAAGCACGGTGTCCCGGCAAGTGACCAACCAGCGACGCTCTCCCCGGCTGAAAACCGCCATCTGGACACTCTGGAGGTCGCCCTTCACTCCCGTTTCAACTTCAAGACGCCGGGCCGCGACCGCCGTGTCTTCTACTCTCCCCCGCGACGTCGTCCTGAAGCGTCACGTCGAAGGCAATGAAGTCTTTCACCTCACCGAGCAGACGGACGGACGCGGACGCGGCGTCAGGGTTTGGTGGGGAGGTCATGGGGAGGTCGTTCTGTGTGGACCGACGCCGCATGGTTTTGCTGGCATGTGTGGTATATCGTGGTCATACCTGGATCCGGAAATGGTCCTTCCATCCTTGAGATTTCTTTCAAGACATCCTTGGAGAATCATTCTCCTGTCATCCTCATCCGAAAAAGCTCAGCTCCTGCACCATGAGATCACCAAGCTGGGTATGAGCAGTGGCTGACAGCATCTGAAGACCAAACTTGCATGTGTCGCGTTTCTGAAAAACCTGTGACTGGTCGCACATGGCACATACCTCTCAGGTTGTTGACCTCTTACATGGTCACACACATACACGAGCGCAGCCTCCGTCACCATCCATCATGAATCCATATGAATCCCAAACAAGAAGCAAGCCTCGGCAACAAAAGCAAGACAATTTTGCATCAATTGGCCAAACATGCCTAAACATCCAAGTCTCACCCATTGCACTTATCTTCTGACTCGCAGACTAGCACTTCCTTCACTCTTGACCTGCCGCAGAAACCGCCCGAAACCCCTCTTACTAGTAGTAGCGTCCTTGCTACTATAGTAGCGATGGCCTCCAACCACATAGCGATGGCCTCCAACCTGCATTGCATGCCCCCAATGGCACTGAAACAGCAGTTTGGGGAAGAGGAGGGGAAGGGCCGTCTCGGTCTTCTTTTTGTATATGTGTTTGGTTTTTATTTGTTTAGTGTCTTCCTGACTGGCACCCCCGACCCCGTCTGACCCCCGACGTCCCGGTCCAGTCTTTGTCTCCACCGTCCCCGCCACTCGCTGCAAGCGAGGCCACGATGCCCTCGAAGACCGGGTCCACGGCCTCGCCGGTGAAGAAGCGTTCCTTTAGGACCTGGCCCCGGTGGCCCGCGGCGCAGGCAGGGCGGGTCCACCCGAGTGGGGTGGGAATGGAGGAGTGAGTGGGAGGATGCAGTGGAGTGAAATACCATGAAAATGCGAACCATAAACAGTGTGAGGTTTTGGATGGTTTGGATGAGGGAGCCCCATTGTGGGCCATTTGTGAGCTTTATGCTCAGTGATGGTTTGCGTCTCTTGGGCTTCGTTCGTCCACGTCATCTCCACGTCTCTTTGCCCCAAGTGTGGGGTCCAAGTCTTTGACTCCAGGCCTTGCTCTTGGAGAAACACAGTTTTGTTAGGCCCAGCAGGGTCGGGATGCCCCTCTTTGAATAGACATCCAAAGCCCTGGGAGTCAAAGACGATAAAAAGAATGGTCTTTAGGGGACCTGAAGGGGAACTTCCTTTCTTCAGCCGGTCAAAATATAGTCTTTGGACTTCTAGGGAAAGACCAACCCTCGGACCAGTCTTGTAACACCGATGGACCTGTGGAAAGAGTGGTGGAAACCACGTCGTCAGTTGGTGCATGTCACGGTACGGTACGTGATACGTCCGAAACGTGGAGAACTCTCAAAGGGTTCGGTAAACCAATGGTTGACTTCCCAATGAAAACCAATCACATTCCTGGACCATCCTGTCTGGGTGTCCCGTCTGGAAATCCCTAAGTATAGTGTAATCCAGCCAGGACACAAACAGGATGGTGCCAGGATGTTTTACAGCAGTTTTTGACATCAACCGCCCACCAATTATACAGAAGTCTCATCGAAACCGCGTCCTGTGGGAAACCACCCCCGCACCCGCCACCAACCGGCCTTCCACTCCATGGTTACTGCCGAGAGCTGTTCTCCATCCTGAGATGTCGAATTTTGGGTCCGGAGTTGATGTGTGAAATGGCCCTTCCGAGTCGCTGTTCTTTTTGGGTTGAGGCACGTGCTGTGCAGGGCGCACGGTTCGAACCATCGCAAGTTGGGATGGCATGTCGTTTGGTTGGGTTTTCCACCCTGAACGGCTAACGAAAATGAAGATCAAGCTGCTGCTTGGGGTCGCTGCTGGGTGTTGTTGGTCCGTCAGTTGAGCGGCGACCAGTTCAGTGGCCTGGGGTCTCTCTCTTTCGTGGTTTTCAGGGGTCAATGAGAGGTCAACGAGAACTCCTGCAAACCACCACCACCACCGCTGCCAGGTGGATGTATAGATATATTTTGGAGAAAAAACAAACCAATAGCTATGCCCTTGAGAGGTCAAGAACCTTCCAGCCTGGCGCCACCCATGGGAGCTTCCTCGTAGGAAGTGTGTTTCCTTTCTTCAACTCCACGGAGCAAGGCTCTCAGGGGACTCCAGATCCAACCAGGAAGGGATCAGTGCATCAGTGCATCCCATGACCAAAGCGACCAAGGGCGTGGATGATGCTTGGTAAAATGTGGGTGTGCTAAATCTTGAGCTCTATATATACCCCAAATACCTCCAAATCAAAGTATAATGGTGAAATCTTTGACTGACTGTTGCAGGTATACTGGGAGACACCCTCAGCATCCTCATCCTTTCGGGAGGATCAGCTTTCGGGGGCGAACTTTGAGTGAGTTCATGTTTCAGCTCTGGTACCGGGCCAGGTGAACCAATATCAAATGGATAAAAATCGATTAAGGTTGTTAGGATTTTTGGGACTATGTCATTCTGGGGTGGTAGTTCCCACGTGTGACGTGATCGTGCATGTGGATCATGATGGGCACCCAACTCCTTCCTCCGTTCGGAACCGGCACCCCCAACTCCATCATCTTCGTCTTCGACTGAGCCGATGTGCAGAAAACCCCCAAACACCATGCAAAACCCACTGGGCGATGGGCGGGCGACAAGAACTTTGACAAGAATTCGAGAGGATGGCAACAACCACCGGCGCGGTTTCCCCTTAGCACCAAAGCAAAGGAGTTGCCCTATCACAATCCGAGAAACATACTAAACCCGCCAGCTGGCTGCAACATCTTATCTAGTAGCACGCAAATATCCACCAATCAGCTGTTTTCTTTAAAAAAAATCAGGCACCTGCCAAACACGCTCCTGTTCTCACCTCGCTCCGTTTCGCACGTTCCGACGTTCCAAGTCTCCATCGCCCCGCGGCCAAAGCCCACCACCGCCAGCCCCGCGTCCAGCGCCGCCCGCTGTGCCGCAGCCGCGGGCGACGTCGCCGTCGGGAAGGGGATCGTCGCGGCCGGCGACGGCGGGCCCCGCCGGGCGGAAGGCGTTGGAGTTTGGGTTGGAGAGGGGCGGAAGTGCTGATGAGGTGCTTGGGGGGGTGCTAGACTGAGTTATACGTCTAAAGTTAAGTTTGATTCTTAGGAGTCGGGGGATGTAGTCGGTCAGTCGGTTGGTTTTGGCGGTTGGATGTGGTTGGTGTTGGTTTGGCTACGAAACGCATGCGCCTTTCTTGCGGGATCTGGACCATGGTCCAGGGTGCTGCTTGGGTGTTGAAAGTGGGTCGGTTACGGCTTGAAGCTGCTGTTGATTCCAATCATGAGTGTGACCTGCCAGGCAGGGGTCAGCTTTGCCTGTGTCAGATTGCGCTGTGAGTTTGCTGCGGGTAGGATGGCTCTCTTAGGCTTCCTGCCAGTGATTGTAGCTCTAGTTGTTCATCACAAGACCCGCAGCTGAAGATCTGAAGAACATCGGAATCTGATGACATATGCAAGCCATCTATACTCTGTTTCTTCTTCAACTGCCATTTCTTCTGGCATACGACATGAGCCAATGTCACTGCAATCCGAGTCCACTCGCCCGCAACTCGCGAGTCGGAGTCGTCTGTCGGTCCTGGGTCCGACGCATGCCCCCGTGTTCCCGAGCGGGGTAAGTGTTCCTTCTTGACGTCCATTTAGAAAAGAAATAAAAACACAGCTCAACCATGAAAACACGGCCTGTTACCGACCTTGCTCAAACACATGGGTTTATAAACAATTCGAGCCCAAAAAGCAACCCCAACGCGCTTCTTGTGACTGTAGGTAGCCTTTTTTGTTTAGGGCTAAGAATGCATCTAGCATCATCTAGCTATGAACCTAGCCTAGGATCAACGGTGTGCGCCTGTTGCAAGGTGCCACGACACCCGACCGCGCCTGAGGCATTGCAAGCTAACTCATACCTTTCCGAACTCAGCAAGGGCTCCAACGCATGCACCTGCATGCGCTGTGAACGGATTGCACGCCAACAGAGCATACGAGAAGACCGGAGATATGCAAGTCTCGATGTTGTGTACCAGCAGTCCGTCCAGGAGGAACCGTAACCCTTCAATAACTGCTTTGTTTTGTTATGTTTTATCGTTCAGATATTTGCAAACCTTTACCTCAACTTCTCTTCAACAGTCTTTTTCTGGACCGTTCGGGGTGTTTTCCAACGGGCCCGATGCTTGGGCAGTGCCAGTGTGCCAATCGCAAGTGCCAAGTGCCAATCGCACGGCGGACATCCCAGTCGTGACCTCATCTAAGAGCTGGCAATACTCGTCGAAGCGTTGCCTGGGCGCGACGGGTATTAGCGCTGGTCCGGTCGACGACGTGCCATGCCACCCGAAGAACAGGAACGAAAAGCACAAGCAGTTCCAAAGGGGTGCCGAGCGAACGGAGGATAGGGATTTCCCATTCTCATTCAC